ATTCACATCTGGTGTTACAGCTGATCTATAAACACATGTCAAGGCAAGAATGCAGCACAAACCAACTGGGGCATAAAAACAATGCCTGCAGGAGCCAACTAGGTAAATAAAATGAGACAAACGGGCTGGTTGGGAAAGAAACCATCTAGATGGATGGTGGGAATACTCCCATCTCAATCCCAGCAAATTGGAGTTACATAGATGTGAGATCTAATACTGCTACATCGTTTAAAATTTCAAAGAGCCTAAGATACCCAAATTTTGATGTGAAATTCCATTTCCATGATTCTTTTTTTTTAATGGTTATTTATTTTTGAGACAGAGAGAGACAGAGCATGAGCAGGGGAGGGGAGAGAGAGAGGGAGACACGGAATCCGAAGCAGGCTCCAGGCTCCGAGCTGTCAGCCCAGAGCCCGACGCGGGGCTCAAACTAATGGACCGCGAGATCATGACCCGAGCCGAAGTCGGACGCTCCACCGACTGAGCCACCCATGTGCCCCGAAATTCCATGATTATTAAATATTGTGCTGAACCTAGCTTATGGATGCCATTTGGGGTCTCTTCTGCAGTATTTGAGAAATGGCACATGAGAGGCCCAGCCTGGAAGATCTCAAGAGGACAGAACAAGAGAGTAACAAAGTCAAGTATCCTCTTTACTCTTGCACATGTCATTCCCTCTGCCCAGAACACACTTGCCTCATCCTTTTCTTGCCCTCTCACCTTGTCTTCCTGGAAAGCTTCTATGTATCATTGAGACTCACTTCAACCACCACTATCTGAGAGGCCACCCCCACCCTTTAAGGCATCTCGGACACTTCCCACAAATTGCTGCTCCAAAACAACAGTACATTTTAATTTTCTCTTTACAGGACAGCCTCACGAGGGATAACGTCCTACAGCGCAAGGAACATGTCTTACTGTTGTCTGCAATTTTAGTGCTTAACACCATGTCTGGGTTTGATTAAGGACTCAAAAATGCTTGCTAAGGGAACAGAGGGCTTTTTAGATTCAAGAATTGCTCAAAGTGTGATTCCCATACTAACTAATGCGGAGCCCACCCCCCAGGGCCAGCTCTGGAATATTCTTACTCAAGAAGTCTAAGAATCCACCCCTAAGTCTTGCTTTAAATAAGCTGTCTCGGTGAATTTTATATGCACTGAAGTTTGAGGTCCTCCTGGCTAAACTGTAACCGTAACTGTAAGGAAAGAGGCTGCGTCTTCTTTGTTGGCCATTATATTCCCAGCACCTGGTACAGCATTTGGCACGAAGTAAGCATTGAGCATTTGTATATGGAGGGAACGAATGGATGCATGAGTGAAAACTTAAGGATTAAGTTATAACTGCTCCTCACACCTTCAATGGAAATCCCTATCAGTATCTCTCATCTGCCCATTTATTTATACTTACCACAAAGGCACCGAGATAAGCTGAATATCTGGTCAATAATGACTATCACTATGGACAGTCTGCTCAACCCGTACCCCTCCAGGCTTGGAAGAATATAAGGCCTTTGCCGATTCAATGACTTTATCCCTGAAGGATTACAGACAAGCAAAGCAAGGAAACTTGATTACAAAGAAGACACAAACCTCTCATCTTAGCTACTGGGATTAGTAATACTCCTCTTCCATCTTCCCTGCATCCGCTACCCTACAACCACCACTGTTCCCTTTTGATCCTCTCTTGCCAACACATCCAGCGGGCATAGTTCCTATTATACTTCCTCTCCCTTCCCTTCTCCACCCTCTGGTGGAGGGATAATGAATAGCAAAATGGGCAGGAAAAAAATCAAATGACAGCAAAAATTATGAATAGCAAATATTTAGTTTGTTTTCTGGAGGTAATTAGACAGTTAATTTAAGGTAACTACTAGTCCAGATTTCCAAATAGCACATGAAATTAAATCCGAATAAAATGCTTTTCTTGGTTTTCCATAAATGATTAGTTAATGCAGCCCACCTAAAACCGATCTACTCCCTTTGACGTTTTTTACTCAATTCAAATTGGGGCAGATGTACCATTTCCCCAGACCAATGGACCATAGGGAACATAGCCCCAAAATGTTTCCTAGCCTCATATAAAAACTAACAGAGAATCCTCCAGGCAGGCTGGGAATTGCAATGCCACCATTGCCACCCAAATTGCCCAGTACTGGCTCTGATCTTGGAGCTAAAGAGAAAAAAATAAAGATCTAAGCACAAGATAACATTACTGCTTCTTAGACAATTTCCACAGCAGCATTCCCCACTGGACTATAAGCTACTTGAAAGCAAGAGCTTTTTATCATCTCAGTTTTCCCAGGGTCCATCTCAATTCGTAGCATTGAAAAAACATTTAAAGAAAGACCAAATTAATAGAAACCTGTGCACTGGTATATGGCAGGAATCAAGTTCAAGAACCAAGATCCATTCACTCCAGATTTACTAACTACAATGGGTAACACTGTCTGTATCATATTTCAATCTCCCCAATAAATGGCCAACAGCCCTATTACAGATCAAGTCTTAGGTAGCTAACTATACAGAAATACCACCTTTTGCCTCAGAACATTTCCTCCTTTTTTTTTTTTTTTTTTTTTTTTTTTTTTTTTTTTTTTTTTTTTTTTTTTTTTTTGTCTTTTATTATCTTGTCCTGTCAGTCAACATCTCTCAACACCAGGACAGCAGTTAACATCTCATTCCACCAAGTTCTGCTGTGGACAATTCTCAGCAGTATGAGTGAATACACATGTCAGCCATTTATTTTTCCTGATTCCTTAAGCAAGTAATCCTTCCTGAGTAATGGACCCCTTTGAGAGTATGACAAAAGCTTTGGAGTATGACAAAAGCTATGGAGCCTCTCCTCAGTAAATAAATTATCATATGCATATAAATGCAAACTATTATGCATAATTATAGGTCGTTTTTAGATACGTTGATGCCCACATCCAAATCCTCCTTTCAAAGACCTACTCTAAGCCATAGTAAAAGGAATGGGAGGTTATTTGAAAACCAGATACCTATTCAAGATTATTCTAGCTTTCCAGGGAGATGGTGTCACGGAACTACGATTCAACAATTAAACTCCAGCTCTTTTTTAAGGGTAGTAAGTAACACAGTAGACAAGATTTTCAACCTCAGCATTATCAAAATGCAGAATTGCTATTTTATTTACTCAATGGGTCACTCTGGTGTAAAATCATAGCTATATTTTGAAGCACTATAAGGTTTCCTCCTTAGGTGCTTTATCAAGCAACTGCCTTAAAAGTCTCTGAAACACCCTTTTGCTTCTTGAGTAATCTAAGCATAACTGATCAGGCTACCATAAGGATCAGTGTATCTATCACAGTGCCAGGAACATGGACCTTGGGGTCACAAGACCACCATTTATTTCTTGGGCAACCCTGGGCAAGTTATATAACTTGGTGCAGCCTCAGTTTTCTAAAAAGAAGATAACATAGTGCCCCCTAAGGCACCTGTGAGGATTAAATGAACTAACACATGAAAATTAGTGTACTGCAAGGGCCATAGTGATGCTCAATGAATGATAATAAATGCCAATAAAATTGTCTATAAAATACTTATAGTTCTTAACATATAGTAAATCCTCTATAAATGGAATCTGGAATAATTCTTGGAATTTGAATTAACATTATCTTATGAGTGGTCTTAAGGATAGAAAGAATTCCAAATTCTCTTTTTTTTTTTTTTAATTTTTTTTTTTTCAACGATTATTTATTTTTGGGACAGAGAGAGACAGAGCATGAACAGGGGAGGGGCAGAGAGAGGGAGACACAGAATCGAAACAGGCTCCAGGCTCTGAGCCATCAGCCCAGAGCCTGATGCGGGGCTCGAACTCACGGACCGCGAGATCGTGACCTGGCTGAAGTCGGACGCTTAACCGACTGTGCCACCCAGGCGCCCCGAGAATTCCAAATTCTCAATATGAGCTTTCAAGGCACAATGCACATTCAGTTTAAATCATTGAGAGTCCTCCATGAGGGAATGTGGGAAAGAGTTGAAGGAAATAGGATCTATGTGTTTGACTATCCATAGTTCCATAGAAGATCCTCCATAGGATCTATGTATTTGACTATCCATAGCTCCGTAGAAGTCACCAACTCCATAGTGGCACACAAAACCTACAGTGCCAATTTAATCCAGTTTTGGGTCTCCAGTTGTTCTTGCCCATTCAGCTCACACCTCCATGCCATAAATCCCTACTTGAGCTTAATCCCTGGAGGGAAAATGTCTCTGCTGATTCATTTTTATGCTTCTATCTGTCTTCAAATGGCAATCGGGTAACCACACAATCTCCTTTTCAGTCCTAGTTGTCAGAAAAACTCAAAATGGTCTTTGTTGCCCACATTTTTTGAATGCATTCAACTCATATGTCAGAGACTTCTCTCTTCCTTCTCTTTCTTGAGGTCACCTCTGTTCTGTTTTATGCTCAGAGGCCATCCAACAAACTATGCCTTAAGCAGGCAATCAATTAAAAGCATTTTGGAAATAGTCAAGGCACCAATTTTAAAATAGTTATTGGTCATTTCCCAAAATGGGAAACCAGATATACAACTTGTCATATACCCTTTCTAATCAAGCTACAGGTAACATTTTCTCTTTTTAACTTATGCACAGGAAAGGCTTAAGCATTTTAAACCACATTTTCCAAGTTCGAATCTTTAATTCTACACCTCTCATAAGTTTCTTACGTGTGAAGCTCTCTCAACTGAACAAGAAAACCTCTGCAAGGTAGGGAAGATGCAGTCAACCCAAGCTCCGATTGTGCTGGCATTTAAAGTTAGCTGACAGTGAGAAAGCAGACCCATTTTCTAAAGCATTCCAGGATCTAAAATACCAACTGATGGAATCGCTCAAAAGGCCCCGTTTTCTTGGAGGGCTTTCTCTTAGGAAGACGAATGACAACTCAAGTGGTTTTTGTGACACCGCCACCTACTCACAGGCCCTCCTTTCATTGGCTAATCGCAGAAAGAAATGTCAGAAATAGAAGCAATTACTTACATCTATAGGTCATCTCAAAGCTGTCGCTGATGTTCACAATATCAATCTGGGGGAGCAGCTTTGGGGGCTCTGTGAGTTGTGACAAAGCAAATCTAAAAGCGGCATGTTCCTGTGACTGCTGGTTTGGAAATAATCCCCCTAAGAGGAAAGAAAAGGCAACATAGCATCTGGTATAGAGATGGGTTTAATCCCCCAAGAGCCCACCCCAGATGGGCCCTTTTCTTCTCCCCGTGCCTTTAGTTGTAGCCTTTAGTCTTGGGGATATGAGTTCAAATAGACTCAGCTAGACTTTGAGGCTTAAACTTCCACTGATGAGCTTTTATGTGCCAAGGCCTCTAACATCTATCACTCTGCCCAAACATCTGATTGTTTGCTCCTCAACCCAGATCAGGTCAGAGAAAACGGGAGAACTACATTTCTCGTTCTCCTCCCTTGGGTGACCATCTGGGTGGCCTAAGCTCTTCTGTGCATGTGAACTCTCACTGTGTCTCATGTTCCCTGTATTGGACCCGTTTCTTATTACAGAGCCTTACAGGCAACAAATGTTGCAGGGTGAAATCTAGTTCTGGGACTCTGTGGGCTTCTCCAGCACTCTAACCTTTTGCTTTGACACTTTTGGTCTTTGACCTAGCAAGACCTGCATACAGTTTAAGTATTCTATGGCCTCTAAGGTTTATTATTCATTTTCTCTGAAAACCCTGGACTTCTACAAAGAGTATTTTGCTTCTTCTTTGACACTCATGATCCTAGCTACCTAGGAATGGCTTGTTACATAAGAGATTGCCATTGTGTATATTTGCATGGTAGAACCTTGGACTTCAAAGATGTGGGGGCTTAAGAACGTCAAGAGGGTACAAAGAATATTCTATTCTAGTAAAAAGCACAACAAAGGTGCCTATTGAGGCTCTTGTTCCAAGAAGCAAGAGCACATGCCCTTACCTTTGTATTTACTGTGGACATGTTAATGAATTAAGCTCCATTTCTATGAACTGGAATCAGCTATTTTCAGAGACTAAACTATAATGAATATTTACATAGAAGTTTATCTCAGCTTCCACAGGAATCACAGCCCCAGCGTAATGTACTTATAACTTCGTCTACAGTGGGTACGTGTTTGTTTTTGAGAACCAATAAATGGGTTGTAAGGCTTTTATTAGAGATCGTACAAGTAGAATCAAGTACTACCTGATGGCGGTGATATTTTCAGCATTTGTTCTGCAATGTAATGTTTTAACCTTTTATTTGAGAACAAATCATGGTCTTATCAGTTGAACAAATAAGTTGGGGTTAAATATAATGAAAAATCTACAGAGATACATGGGCAAACATATCATATGCATGTACACAAAACACCTCTGTGCATTTATACCCATAGTGATATATACAAATACATTTGGAGAAAGCAAGTCCACAAATCTCAAGGCAAGCATTTACAATCGGCGAACTATGGGCAATACGTAGGTACCAACATAAACAATGCTACACATAAGAGCAAGTGATTTACACATGTTCATGTGCCTCCATTTTAAGGAGTGAAAACAAAAAACTCCTTCTTGATTTTGATGCCTCACCCTCCCTCCCCCCAGGTGACCACACCCCAAACACATTCCTGCCCCCTTCCTCCTCCTCTGTAATGAATGAAAGAGGTGGTGGGGTGGGGAGGTAGGCGGCTACAGACTGGGCTGCAAGAGAAGTGTCTCAGGAGGCAGGAAGTTTTGTTTTGCGTGTAAGGTGTAAGGCACTAACACATATGCACAGACACACTTCAGGATGTAGCTTAACAGGTGTCAGGAAACAAAGCAAGTTACTCCATGGCTGTTCCAGCCACCCTTGGAGCCAGCATGCTGGAGAGGCCAGAAGAGACTGCTACAGCAGCACATGTGTGCCCAGCAAAACAGGACCTGCAAAACCACCACCACCAGCCCCCCCCCCCCCCCCCACACACACACAAACACACACTCACACAAAGAACACAAACTACCAGTCACAGGAACTTTCCCTGGTGGAGCTATGTCCCTATCAGGGGAGAGAAAACAGAACCCAAGCCAACCAAGATGCCTCCCAGCAAAGCAGCTTGCTCCATTCCGGGACACATCCAGCACTGAAAGGCTGGTCACACTGAAGCCCCGAGCCCTTGTGGACACGCATTGTTATCGGTGTCATTGCTCTCATTTGTTTTGCTTTCACCCATTATTGTGAGGGGGAGCAATATCTACCAGCTGTTCCACAAATACAGGGAGGGTGAGGGGTCCTTTAGAAACGCAACAACCAGGAAGGGAAATGGGGAACAAAAAGGCATGCAGCATGTTGAAACCTGCCTCCAAGTTGAGAGGATAAGAGCCTAGTGACAGGGAGAGCTAAGCGGAGGGAAGGGAACTATGTGTACGTGTGTTTGTGTGTGTGTAAAAGGTAGACAATGTCTGTGGATGGAAAATCTAAGAGGAGGGGGCAATGGAAGGAAGAAAGGAAGTTCCAGGATCCGAGGAGTGGGGACCACCAGCCCAGCATGGCAGACAGCAGACAGAAGGCAGCTGGGGGAGTCCAGAGCAGGAATTAAAGCCCCCTGGACTTTGAGTGGGGTCTTTTGGCATTATTTCAGCTGCTGCAATAAACCCAGCACCCTTCACTCCTTCTTTCATAGGGTCTCTTTCCCCTCCCCCACCCAAGAAATAATCATCCCCTCGGTCATTTAAATACATATATGCATATTTAATAGCTAATCACACAGAAATACACCACACATATTTATATAAATGAATGAAATCAGGCACCATCTATGAAGCAATGGAGTGAACTCCTTTAAACACCCACTACCCTTTTGCTGGCTACAGCCTGAATTTTCTTTCTTTCAAAGCAGTGGTTCCTCCATTTCACATGCTCATGCATAGAGTGTGAGTGGTGTGTGTGGACCTGTGTTTGTGTGTGTGTGTGTGTGT